CGCAAAAACAAACACACACACACAAAGAAAACCAACAAACACAAACAAACACACACACACACACTGACTGAAGAAGCGTTGTCTGCACTCCCGGATGGATTCCATAAAGGGTGTTACTCTAGATAGGTTCTGCAGATGTTGTCGGCTGTGTCAAGTGTTTGGAGCCATCTTACATGAAACAGATTGCTGCAACCGTACATGCCGACCAAAGCTCTGCAAGTCTGAGGTTGTCGCTGCACACTGCACTCTAGATGTTGGTTACTCCCGTGCCACAGGGCGCCCACTGGCTAATCCGAAAACAGGTACGGCTGGCTGATCAGGCCAGATATCACCATTCGCTGACAGTGTCTTCGTTGGGCAGTAACTAACTGTCAGGCATGCACTGCCCCCCTGAAAAAGCATATGTATTACCATGTATCACAAGACTTGCAATGTTGGAGAGTGGCCTCCCTAAGCCCATGAACGAGGACGTTCTCACTCACTCACGCTCACACACACACACACACGCAAAAAAAACACAACAACAACAAAACAAAAACACAATTAACTGAACCCTAAACAGCTTCCCCAACTTAAAAACTCACAGACCTACCTAAGCCCCAAACCTCCTTAAACTCCTCAACCTATCTCAACTTCCTAAACTCTAAACCCCCAAACCCCTAAACCCTAAACCCTAGATCCAGCTGCCTTCATCCGCAAAGGGAACTTCCGGTCCATGGCTAGCGGCCCGGCATCGGCGGGCGGCACGAGATGGGTTTAGGTTTAAGATTTCAGGATTTAGGGGTTTAGGATGTAAGGTTTAGGGAAGGTTTCGTAGTTCGCTTTTGAGCGTTCTACTTGTGGTCGCAGCACGTGAAGTGGCTCGTGGTAGGGTATAGGTCTTTTTGGTTTCCAGAAGATCAACAGCTACGGCAGGACTTGCTGACAAACAAACCAAGGCATCCACTACTTTAGCTGCTTGTGACCATGCTCTTGTGCATTTTGCTGTGAAAGAGTTGCCGAGCAGTGCTCACAACTAATCTCGGATGGTATGCGGCTCCTGCAAAAGATGGATGTTACTGGACCCACGGTTCTGCGGTTTCGAGTTTTGGTCGCGGCACAAACCTAAAGCCCTAAACCCTGAACCCTAAACGGCCGGCAACCAAGGTACGAAATCCTCTAGACTCTACGTCAACTCTGAACCCGAGATTCCTAGACCCTATAGACTCAACACTTGGGGTTTCAGCACTCACAACTGGGACAAGCTTGGCGAGGTTCCAAGTACGACGACGCAACACTTGCCGTTTAGGGTTTGGGGGGGAGGGGGTGTAAGGTTCAGGGGAGGGTTTAGGGATTTAGGGATTAGCGTTAGTGAGATCTGCTAGATGAAGGAAGTCAGTTCAGATCGCGATGTTTTGGCAACGGCGCCTTTGACTTCTCACCGGTACATCGGCAAATAAATGCCGCGATGCACCGGATTTGATTTACAGGATGCAAGCCAACCACAACAGCATGGCACCCAACACCCAAGTAGAAACAACTGAGAGTCAAACCCTAGCTAGCTGGCTTTCCGTGAATGCAAATCTATTGCCAACATGGAACCCTGGACTGTGAACTTGGCTTGGACCCAGGAAACTGTACAGCAAAAACTTCTCAGGACACCTTAGGGCTCCCTTTTTCCGGAGCCTCTGCGTCCAAAGAAAAGCCGAGGCAGGATAGGTTCTTACCTGCCCTTAGAATCATTGCGAAGTACTTAGAGCAACTAACTATGACTTTAATGCGAGAACAAATACGAGAAAAATACAAGACACATACGAGAAAAATACAAACGGGGTGTTCGACGTCAAAACAGCGTACGAGAAATATACGAGAGCTCTAGGACATACGAGAGGACCAGAGCCGGCCTGGCCAGAGCCCGGCCGGGGCCGCCCTGGTCCTTTCGTATTTCCTAGAGCTCTCGTATTTTTTCTCGTATTTTCCCTAAGGACAAACACGAAAGGAAATACGAGAAAACTACGAGAGCGCCGGGAAATACGAGAGGACCAGGGCGGCCCCGGCCGGCCGCCGAGCGGCCCCGGGGGCTGCCCGGTCCGGCTCTGGTCCTGTCGTATGTGCTGTTGCATTTGCTCTCGTATTTCCTCTCCTATTTTTCTTGTATTGTCCGCTGCTGCTGGATTGCCTCTCGTATTTCTTCTTGTATTCCCCCTCGTATTCATTTCGTATGTATTTGAATCGTATTTAAAATACGTTTGATGCATGCCAGTCGTTCCGGAACATGCCCTCCACAAACCTACTGAAGTCGTCCAAACCCAACCAACAGGCCTGCTAGGCTTCGCTAGCAACCCGATAGAGGGGTGAGTAGATCGCTTCAGTGGCCTCCCATATATTTCCAAAGGCTTGACAGGTTACGGTTTGGGTTATCCATTTAAGGTTGTGCAGTACATGATTGTATACACTGGAGCCCAAGATGTTACGAACTCAGCTTCTAAGATATAAAAATTGGATGATCCATAATCATAGAGCACTTCGCGAAATCATCCCAACAAAGGGTATCGGTTGGGTGGCTGAGCAAACCGATCCACAACAGCATTTTTGCGGTAACTGGTAGAAACGGCGGATGCAGGCCTCTCTGATCACGCCTTGAGCGGGTCAGAACATCACAGTCGCTACTGCAAGAACAGTTTCGTCCAGGCAGTTTGCTGCGATGTTTGGTGGCTTGCAGTCCAGAAACCTCGTTGAAGTGGGGAGCTTGATATGGGCGAGTGGTGGGTTCTGAAAAAAATAAGCAGTCATGTGGTTAGGCATGTCCTAGGTGGATCAGCTTCGCGAATGACTAACCGAGAAGCGCTTCGAGACGGTGGAGCAACAGGTCGCTTAGGCGAAGATTGAAATCGTCCACGTCGTTGATTTTGCTCAAGACCAGCTCCTGGCACTAGCATGGTTATCTTTTTACGGTTTCAGCACTCACTCTCGGACTTGCCTAGGCGAGGACGGTTTGGGGGTTTAAGGTTGAGGGTCTAAAAATGGTTCAAGTGTTCCATCTTCTCCTGAACCAACCCGCGACCCCGCTCAAAAGGCGCGAGATGCTCTTCAACCCTGTTTGAACTCAACTAATTATTACAAAACGTGCCGACACTTTCATCTCCAATCGCCTTGTCTGCAGGAAACGATGCTTCCGCTGTCCTCACATCCAAGTGCAAGAGCTGGTCCAAGCAACGTTTCCGTGATGCCGCTGAATGTATCTTGATTGCCTGGACAATCACCAAGGTGCTAGAAACAACCCTAAGTCGCAAGCCCTAAACTCTACGGCCAAGACCCACAACCCAGCAACCTGAAGTCGAGCCTGTAGCTGCTCCAAGGCGCGGGGGGGGTGGGGGGGGGGAAGAAGGAAAAACTTAAGTCCCTTTCCACCCGCAAATAAAGCTATTCCACAGGCCTCGAAGATCCGGAACCTTCCCCACCCAAAACCCTCAACCCTAAACGTGAAACCTTCGACCCTTCCACTACATGTGCCTGTGGCAAATGAAGTGACTTGGCTTCCACGAGTTCAGCCACACACCAGACGCGCGTGAGCAAAGAAAAGTCGACGTCCATGGCCACGACTTGTGCCAAGCGGACCTGCCCCTAGGCACTAAACTCTGCAGAAGCACCTATCATTCAAAACGACTCTGGGCTTTCTTCGTTTGGGGCGGATGGTTTGGGGCATGCTGTTTTCGTTGGTTGGGTGGATCTCTGAACTAATCTCTCCAATCTCTGCATTCAGCTTCTTACCTTTCTTGTGCCCAACAACCTCTCGGAGGTTGGGGGGCGAGTGAGGCATACGGCTGAGCGGCGGGCGGGTGCCCGATCACTTCCGTCTTTTTTTTTGGGGTCGCTTGTGTCTTTTGGTCTGGGGTCGCTTCTGTCTTTTATTCTGGTGTCGCTTCTGTCTTGTTCGGAAGCAACAGTCTCGAACGAGAGGTGCCTTGGTAGGACCTCACCCCGCTCAGTTTCAGGCCCGATACATGCACCTGAGAACGACTTCAAATCTCGGAACCAAACAAACAAAAGCCTCCTCCTTTTAGGATTTGGGCCTTCTTTCAATTAGGGTTTCGGTCTGGTT